GCTCGCGATCCAGTCCGGATGGACCCCCTGAAGGGGCGCTCTCGGAGGTCGGACCTCCCCTCCGGCTTCCGCCTGGCTTGGGGGTTGAGGCCCCGGTCGTTTTGCAGCAGAGGGGAAGGTCGTCCCTACGGCGGAGACTTGGTCTCTGGGGGCATTTGGGGTCTGTTCCGGGCGGGGGCGGCGGCGCGGCGACCGTGACCCCCGCCCGAACTTCTGTGCATTGTCGTCAGTCAAAGCCCGTGCTCTCCTCATCCTCTTCTTCCGTCATCATACCCCAGCGAGCACTGGCCTGGGTCCGAGGTGATGGTGTGTCTGCACTCTGGGCCTGATCGCCCCCTCCCCACAGTGACCCCAGAAGTGGAAGATGATAAAGAGGAAGAGCGAGGGGCTGGTTTCGTGCTCTGCACGTCGGACGCCCCTCCCTCCACCCCGGCGTCCCCCCTCCCGAGTCATACCCTCATCCCTCTCCGGGCCGTGATTCCCCCTTAAGTGCAGCAGCAAGGAGGGCAGCTGCTTGGGCGCTATTGACGCTGCTGGGCAGCTGCCGTGGCTCGAGCTGGCCAGGCCGGACCAGCCTAGGGAGCTGCTGAGTGAGTGTTTTTCGAGAACACTCTCTGGGTTCCAGCCACCGCCGGGGCAGGTGGTGGGAGGTGGGGTGGGGACACAGCTGTGGGTGCTCACGCTCCTCATCCCGAAGCCAAAGGAACGAAGAGGTGCTGGGGCCCCTTTTCCTAATCGGCGGCAGATGGACTGATTACAGTCCTCTCGGCCTCCTTCCCACATACTCCGTGTCCTCATACCAAGCCTGTGAATGTCGTCTCCAGTCTGGGTGGCTTGAGGTGGGAGGTAGGACTTGTGCATGCGATCTGAAATCAGGACGCCGAGGTATTAATCGTAAGATGGAGTGAGGCAGCGTGAGTAGATGTCAAAAGTAAGGCGAGTTACTGCAGCCAGTGTTCCCAGCGCCTGACCTGCTGGGAGCTGCTGACCAGGTGTAGGAGGTCCCTGGGCGATCAGAGAGCTCGGGATACCAGCGTCTGGTCTCTTGTCGGCGGCAAAATGGGCACCCGGCAGGTACTGGCGACTGGACCTTGGCTCAGCACCCTTGGTGCTTGAGTTCTGGCCCAGAAAGAATTCAGAGCCAAGACTCAGAGACGAGCAGAAGTTTATTTGGAAAGTCAGAGGTGGAAGAAGCGAGCCAGCTGGGCTGCATTGAGCTCCGGGAACAAACGGCAGAGGCTAGACAAGGTCCCCTGGAGCGTAGAGAGAGAGAGAGAGAGAGAAGCAAGGAAAACACACCTGCGTGAGCCAGCTGGGCTGCATGGGCTCCGGGCACAAACGGCAGAGGCTAGACAAGGGCCCCTGGAGCGTAGAGAGAGAGAGAGAGAAGCAAGGAAAACACACCTGGGGGAGGAAGGTGAGGGGGGGGAAGCCTCTCCAGAGAGACTGCTGCTCTGGGTCCTGGAGGGTATTTGTCTGGAGGTCTTGGGAGGATCCCCTAGAATATTGACCAGCTTTCCAGGTGTGTCGGTTCAGGGTTGTGGTCTTTACTGATTGGTCGGCACCAGGGATCCTCAGTCAATGCAGCTGATCCTAACGTCAGCGCAATAACAATGTTATCGGCGACTGGACCTCGGTTCAGCAACCTCCTTACTTGAGTCTCTAGTTACATGGCTTTGTCTGTCTGGTTTTGCTGCTCTCCTGGGCCTGGAGCTGAAACACAGTGAGGCCTGTATGTATTTGATGTGGATCAGAACCTCATTGTCCTGGAGGTTTAATGTGTAAGGGCTATCCTCCGGCCCCCTCACTCATTCCCCTCTAGGAGGGTCTGACCCACAGGACTAGCAGCATGCTAGGGGAGGAAAGGTCAGGGGAGGGTCTGAACCGCCTGACCTGCGAAATGCGAGGTGAGAGGTTACCCTGGGGGCAAGGTCCTTGTTGTCCCAGTTTTGCCCTTTGCTGGGGCTTTCCACCCTAGTGGCCTTCTGTACCTGGCCCATCATCCCTGCGCTGCTCATGTCTAACTGCCCACCACACTTACTTAGGAGTTTTCACATCGGTCCTAGTTCTTTCCAGATATTTAGAATTAAACATCATTTGCATCATTAAGGAGCTGTAAAATGGGAAATACAACTACCCCAACACAGAGCTTAAATTAATTGTAAGGATTAACTTCTTGTGAAAAGAGTTCTTTGGTTCGTTGCGCTTTAAATAGGGTCTTGGGCTGTATGTAATATTTAAATTCATTCTTTTCAGTGTAAATATCTGATGTAGGGTCTCTCCCTAATTTGGGTTCCTTTTCAAAGCTCCCCTATCTAAATCAAATTCGTTTCCTTAAAAAAAAAAAATACATCCTTAGAGGATGTTCTATCATAAAATTATAAAAAAAACTTAAGATATTTAAGAAGATATATTAAGAAACATAAAACTGGTGATTCTGTAATGTGACTACATTATCCCAAAACATGGTATTTCGTAGCAGCATAACAAAATAAGGGAGGGTGTTGACTTAATGTTAACTGCCTTATTTCATGAAATTTAAGGTGTCATTGGTTGTAAACACACAAAACTGTATACAGATGATGTATTACAGAATTGTACACCTGAAACCTATATAATTTTATTAACCAATGTCGCCCCAATAAATTCAATACAAATTAAAATAAATGTTTTTAAAAGATGCCATTGGTTGTAAAATGCACAATTATTTCATCTACCATTAAAAAAACAACAACTAAATTTAACTATAAAAACTATTCTTACCAAATAGACTTACATGCTAGACATATTTATATAGATTTATTTTAAATATAATAAAGCTTAGATGTTTACTATGTACCACCAGGGTGAACAAATCAAAAGAAAACAGAGTGAAATAAACAGAAAAAAATCACAGGTTTGTTTTCTGCCTGCCTTAGGAGGTTTACGTAAACATTGGGATCTGTTATTAAGATAAAGACTTGTTTATGTATGGTTTTCCAATACTTGGTTATGTATGCTGAAAATGGAGTGGGAATTTAGAAGTTTTGGAGAAAGGTTATTTGCATTTTTCATATATCTGGAAATCCTCCTATGAGGTCATAGCAGAGAGCACGGATAGGAACATCCCTTATAAGTGCCCTTTACTATCTGGCTTGGTTGGTCATTTGGCCAAGTTGACGTCTCTGGTTACAGTCTTACTACCAGTTCACTTGGGGACATGGGAGTTGATGGGTCTCTTGGGTTGTTTTTGTGAAGTCCAGCAAGGAGTCCTTCCTTGCATCTTATCTTGGCTTAGGGGCATCCTGCTGCTGCTGCTGCTGCTGCTAAATTGTTACAGTCCATAGGAGGCAAAATGAGCAGAGCTTTCAAGACACTGGGCTTCATGGTAACAGCATTTTAAATGGCTGCGTGTTTTATTTCCTTAGCTTTAGTGTATCAAAGAAAAGAAATGGACTTTATTTTTTTGCCTGTCACTCTAACGAAGTTCTTTGAGCTCATAGCAGCTGAGAGGCTAAAATAAAAGATGCATTAGTTGGCACTCCAAAATAGATCAGCTTCAGTACATGAAGATTATTTATTTTTCTTTCCCTACCAGAACAGATAAAGCAACTTGGAAGATAGAGAGCTAAATTTCATAGGTTTTACATTACAGCTGTCCTGGGAAGTTGCTGATTGCTTTATCTAATTTATGAATACCTATCTTGATTGAAGGCTCTGGTCACATTTCCTGGGCTGGGGAGCAGCTTGGGCTCCAAAAGTCTTTATTATGGTAAAATCAAAGGAGTTCACATTGTTCATTAATAGAAGAGACAATGAGGTTTAAAATAACCAATGGAAGCCATAGACTGAAGAACAGTGACATTACCTGATTCCTTTGAGCTGATGATCTTAACTCTTCTGTATCTGTTTTCCTCATGGATGCAAACAGGAACAGTTATTTTTAGACCCTTTCTTAGTACCTAGGTATTGTAAACTCTTTGTGGATTTTGCCTTTTATTTTTTTCGTCTATATGTCTATACTAGAGGCCTGGTGCACAAAATTTGTGCACTGGGCAGGGGGCGTGGGGGGTTTCCTCAGCTCAGCCTGTACCCTCTCACAGTCCGGGACCCCTTGGGGGATGCCTACCTACTGGCTTAGGCTTAAGCCAGCAGTCAGACATCCCTCTCGCAGTCTGGGACCCCTTGCTCCTTACTGCCTGTCTGCAGCAGAGGCAGGAGAGGTTCACACCACCACCGCTGCAATCACCATCCGTGAGGTCAGCTTCTGGCTGAGTGGCGCTCCCCCTCTGGGAACGCACTAACCACCAGGGGGCAGCTCCTGCATTGAGCGTCTGCCCCCTGGTGGTCAGTGCACATCATAGCGACCGTCGTTTTGCTGGTCGTTCTGCCGTTCGTTCGATTTGCATATTGGGGTTTATTATATAGGATAAGATAGGATTGTTTGTGGGAAGCACTAAACCCTGAGTCCATATCCCAGGATTTGCCGCTATTGCTGTTTACTGTGGCTCCTTGGGACATTTTGGAATTCATAGCCTTCACTGAAGTTTCCCTCCTTGTTCCTCACCCTGCTTTCAATTCTTAGTCAATTGTCCCCCTAAACTTGTTCTTGAAGTTCCAGGGCAGAAAGCTTAAGACATTTCAGTAAGCCTGCAAGTTAAATGGGAATTTATTCTTTGATCTTGAACCCAAATCAGTAAGAAACATTACTCTCAGCTTTCATTTGTTTTGGGGTCAAAGGTGAAAAAATGGGAGATGGAACAAATTGTAACCGGACAATCCATGGGTC